CTTTTCATGTTGTGGTGTGTTTTAGTTTGTGTATTAGAGGTTCCATATGTGTTTTGAAAGTTTTGTTCTATTTGGATAGAATTTGTTGGATGATATTTTGTATGAATAACATTTCTGTTTCAGGAACCATTTGTTATTATCATATATTTTTCTGTGTTTCCTAAGTTTATCAATGAGAGGAGCAACATGCTGCCAACTTTATTTGCACGCAATTGATCTTGATGTTCGCTCAAACCTTTTTATAAATGAAGCACGATAGGCGCCAGTTCCTTCACTCTGATGCTTTCTCAAAAAGAAAAGGGGATGCTAAATCGCTTCATATTATCTTTTACTTTGTCTTTGAAACGCAAGAGTGGCCAGTCAACTGATCTGCATGCTAGAAGCTCGACAAAGATGAGCTGTTTTGGAAGTCAGCTATCATACGAGAACGATGTCCTGCTCACCTGAGTTGGATTTTTTATGAGGATGTCATGTTGCATTTAGTAAGAAATACACTGTTTCTAATGCTCAATAGGCAACGCATGTGGAAAGCAGTGAGTTGATTGATGTGTCATCCAAAATTATGCACTATAGAATAGGAATGACAGTACTAATGACTTGCACACGTCAATTTTCACCTTTAACAAAGTATTGTCACGTGTATTCCAAAGCCTGGGGTAAAGATTACCAAACACAGAATTAGCCTTTCAAATCTTGAACTCAATTTTTTTGTCCATCTTATCACCGTTGGATACAATGGAGCCAAGGTATGTAAAAGTTTAAACAGTATTCAAGACCTTTCCCTCAATATAACGAATGGTTACAATAGCTGGCTGATTGATATTCTTATTTTTTATGCTGATGGTTAGACTGAATCCTTTAGATGCGAATTTGTTAACAAGACATTGCATATCCTCAAATGTGTGGGCTACAAGGGCGCAATAGTTTGCAAAGTGCAGCTCACAGTTTAGTTCTTGCTTTCAAGCATTGTTGGTTGAACAACCCATCATTTGTCCTAAAGTCAAATCTCACACCATCTTTAATATTCTGAAATGCTCTTTCCAGCATGACAGAAACATACAAAGCAAATAAGAGAAGTGCAAGAACACAACCTTGTTTTGTTTTATTAGAGACAAAGAATGGGTAGCACATTTCGGCTGGATCTCACTGAGGACATCATTCCCTGATGGAATGACATGATGACACTGAGCATCCTTTCAAGAATACCCAGCTTTCTAAGAACGACCCAAAAAACATCCCTTGACACGATATCAAATACCTTAGTGAGTTCAACGAAAGTAACAAATAAATCCTTGTCATACTCTTTCTCCTGTAGTTGCATCAAACTGAAAATCATGTCCACAGTGCTTCTACCAGAAAAATTAAAATTCTACTGGGTTGATTCTGTTTAACATGATCTTGCCAAGAATCATCCCAGCAAAACACAAAAGGGACGTACTTCTATGGTTTTCACATTCGCATTTATTGCATTTGTGTGTATAGATATGGACTATAGAAGCCTCTTTAAACTCCTGGGGAATTTATCATGATTCCCAGATTAAAGAAAAGAGATCACAAATCTTACGAACCAGGAGATTATTGCCACGTTTGTATATCTCTGCTGGTATACTATCGTTACCAGAGAACTTCTCGTTTGTGAATTGTTTTAAGGTCTTTTTTACCTCAGCAATTGATGAAGCAACTAATAGCCCTTCAAGAATAGGCCTATGTGGAAAGTTGTTAAGATTCTCGTCAAGATTCGTCTGCATGTTTAGAAAATTTGGTAAATGTTCTGCCCAGCGTTTAGTGATCTCTTTTGTTTCTATTAGAAGTTTACCATCAGAAGAAAAGATGGAAGTTAAGCCATTTGACACAGGTCCAAGGACGCTTCTTTGATTAGAATAATTTAAAGTCAAATCTATCAATAGCATCCTACAATTCATGTGCCTACTCTTGCCACAATGCTTGTTACATTTGCCCTTGTTGGCTTTCTTAAATTTATTGGGCTTTGCAACATTGTATTTGTCAAATGAATGTTGACACACCTAAATAGCTGTAATAATTTTCAGTAGTAATGAATTATTGCATTGACATTAGTCATTTAAGTCTTTACTTATCTGGTATAAAGAAGTACATCACCTAGGATTCTGATAATTTCTGTTGAATTATTAGTATGCATTGTTAATCTCCTGTTGTGCCTAATTTATGAATTAAACTTATGTATATATGCATACATAGGATAAACAGTGAGAATGTGTTATATACACTGTTTCCTTTAGGGTGCCTTGGAACATATCCTCTGTGATACGAAGAGACGACTGTTATAAATTTAGTTTTTTATTATTCAATTTTGGGTTGGATTGTCTTAAACTGAACACAACATTACTCCCTAAGTTCAAATTCAGAAACAGTGATATGTATAGGTGAAAAAGAAGGTTACTCACTTGCATAGAGGTAAAGGTTTTGGTTCAGCAGGTTTGGTTTGATCACAATTTGGGAATGCATAATGACACAGAAGCATCTTGGCTGGCCCACTGCATAAATCATGACTTCGAATCAGTTCCCCTTCAAATTCTTTAAGCAGATTAATCACAATTTTTTCATGCAACCCTGCCGGATTTTCAAATGATAAATTGTAGTACACCATTTGATTGCCAAGGATATCACTACATATTGATCCATTGTAAGGTGCACAATAACCAGTAGGTTTCCTGAAAAATAAAGAAATGTCAAAATTAATGATGGTATATTGATGGTAATAAACTGTCTGAATTAAATGAATCTAAAACACTCATATTTTAAATAATGTGTCATTATTATTATGTACAGTAGATCTTTTGGATTTCTTCCTTTTATTGGTTGTTTCATTTCAATTCTTTGGCTAAGTTTTCAGTGGTCCTCATTAAAAACAAAGAAAATATAGATACATGTTAAAAATAAAAACTATCATATTAGTATATGAAAACTAACCTTGATCTAAATGATTGATCTACTGGTAACTCTAACAATGAGTTGGATTTGATCAGACAAATAAATGGTATAAAGGAAAATCAGTCTTGAAGAATAAAACCTATAATATTCTCTAGGACTTTGAAATTAAAACAACCCATTGCAAACCATAATACCATATCTAATCCATATAAATAAAAAGAAATAATATTAAATTATATGATGTGTTGTCCCAGCAGAACCAAGAGTAAAAACAAAACAAAAAAGTGAAAAACTGGAAAAAATATGTAGATTTTGGGTGAAAACTAAGAAAAAATTTGGAATATGATGACAATTCTATTCATCATTCGTGTTGAGCTTGAAATGGCCTGGAAAATCTTTGCAGAGTGGTTGGAAGAATTGGAAATCTGAGAAGACAGCATTCCTAAAATCAACTCAAATACTAAGAAGAAAACTGGAACACAAGGATATTTGCTGACACATGATCTTCAGTAAAAGCTGCTGTTATGACTAATGGGAAAACTCAATTGCTACAAAACAGTATCAACAATGACACCAGGAACAACAATAACAACAGTAATAATAATAATCAGTTTAACCATGTATACAAACTGTACAGAATGGAATTAAGGAAAAGGAGTAGAAAAAAGGAGAAACATTATCAAAATGGGCGAAAATAAAAATGAAGATTGAAAGTAAAATATGATTAAAAAATTAAAATGTCAAATAACAAAAGTAATATGATGGCAAATACTCCTGCTACTATTAGTTTCTAAACTTTTATTTTCTACTTAAATAAATGTAACATTTGTACTCATCATTGTTGGTGTATCTGGAACAGTTCCAAATATTTTGTAAAGAACTGGAAATCTGAAGAATCAAAACTATCAAAAGGGCAACATTACTAAAATCAGAAACAATTTCAAGGAATTATGGTTTAAGTAAACACATTTTTTGTTAAAGTATCAATCATATAAAAATATTTTAATTGGAAACAAGCTGTGTCCAGTCCATGCCAAGAATGGCTCATTAAAACATTTTTCACATTCAATGCTCAAAAGTTACAATTTACAAAAATTACAAGTTACAATTTAGCATCATTAATCCTACACCATCTGCAATCAAAGTCTTTGTACTTTTCTAATATTGAATTCATTTCTAAATATACCAATATAGTGCATTTTTAAAGATAGTATTTACTAACTATAGTTTAAACTTAGTTTAGCTGAACACAAGACAAGCAAAGCACTAGTTAAAAATGTTAAAAATGCCTGCTTAATTCAGTAAACTCCGTTTTGCCATTCCCATTGTACTGATTATCAACAATCGCAAATGTGTCAAGTGTTTGTAAAGAAAAAAAATAAAATGACTTTAACCAATGGATCTTACTCAATAACAATGTTTAAAGAGAAGAAACAAAAAAGGATTCCAGTGTTTAGGTAAAGAGAAAAGGAAAACAAAATCTTGACTGAGCATCAACAGACCCAATGACCACTAAATTCCAAGAATTTAAGCTTTTAACTTCCCTTCTTTTAAACTTCATACTCTATCTGAAGCCATCCTCAAACAGACATTCCCTCTCTCTTTTGATTCTGACTCATTCTCTCTCTATTCACTGCTGACTCTCCAGGGTCTTCCTTGCCTCCATCTTCTTCCAATTCCACATACCACAATGGACACGGATTTGATTTTATGACCACTGCTTCCATCTTCTTCAGGCCATTAAACATGGAGATTAGATTCCAAGAATTCTTGGCACTACTGATTCATCTTGATATTCCTCACTACTGAACTTGCCCCACCTCCATCCTAATGACAACTAGAAACATTTGAACAAGATGAGAATAGGGATTATGTTTCCCAGTTACCCTAGCAGTTCAGTTGCAACTGAGTAAGGGACAGACCAGGAAGGGTTACAGTGACAGAAAGAGAAACTTGACACTTCTCTTGGTAGGACAAAATTCCTCACTTTTCCTTCATCTCTCTATCTCCCTAAATCATATCTCCCTGTCTATCTCATTGGGATCACTCTCCAATCCATCACTCTACTCTCAATGATTAGAAAACCCCAGATCTCTCTTCCCACCTCTATCCCTAAAGTTGAACAGAAATTTAAAATGGTGTTAATGCTTTTTGTTGTGTAGATTTGTATGCTATATGCAGAGAGATATGAAAAATGGACTAAATTTATTTTTTAAAGTCTGATGAATATACATGGACATTATTTTATAGTTTAAATCCCAAATCCTCATAAGAAGTGAAAAAAAAAAATAAAATAATAACCATGATCCTATTTTTGTACTGACTGTAATTGAAGTAAATGAAAATAATATTTTTACTTTTCTTATTGATATCTACTGACTTTACTATAACTTCAAGATTCCCTTAATTCTCTGTTCTAATAAACCAAATATTTCTGGTAGTAATGGAAAATTTAATTAACAGTTAATTTTTAAATTGTTGACCTAAAATTAAATTGAGCAAATTTTATTGCTAATTTTTCAATAAAAATCAAAAAGAAAGAAATTTATGCAAGCTTGACTGTCAGAGTAATGCTATTATGGGTAAAGTAAATGAATTACAAATAACTTATAGAATACAATGTAAGTTATTTTAGCATAGAAGTGCATTGAAAGCCAGGATAAAAATGAATATTGTTGGTAAAGAATTAATACAAATGTTACTGATGGATATGCATAATATATTTTTAAAATTTTAAAATAAACTGATATATTTCAAACAGGTTTTAAAGACTTGCTGGCTATAACTGTAACTATATTTGAAATACTTAAACAAATTAAAGGATTATGTTTTAAATTTTGATTAGAACAGTCATTAAATAAAATCTTGTTCATTCTTTTACGTTTTCAATAAAAATATATTTTCTTTTTTAATCGCATATCAAAAGAAGCTGAAATTCAGATACAGGAGGAAAATAGTTTTTAAATAAAATTCACTTTACCTTTGATAAAAACCACAAACATGAAACATCCAGTGTAAATCAGACTCAGTGATGTTCAGTAGAAATAACTTTTTAACCATTGTCTATAGTGAGACTCAATTATGGTGATATGGTTAATCACTTGCATATTTGTTGGTTTCTAATCATATATAGATGTGTACTTGCATATACATGTATAAAAATGGCAGGGAACAGCAAGTGATGGCTCATAGGCATCTTCTGTAGACCACTGGCCAACTGAATGTGCTTGTTCATTTCTGGATACTCAATTACAGTGGCATTGTGCCAGCCTAAGTTTAGTAAATAAAGGACACTAAACAGTGGTTAGCAAGATTGTTTCAAAGACTGTCAAAACTGTAGTAATTATTATTGGACTACCCACAGTAAAGTTATATAATGTTAAACTTAGTAAATAATTATTTGAACTATTACACTGACCAATTACATGAGGGTGAGACATGGGTATCTAGCTATTCATAGCCAGATCATGGAAACTTGTTACTCAAACAGCAGCTCTCTTTTCAATAACAGATGTACTGTCTTGATGCACCAAAGAGAATATCCACTAATGCTTATGAAAAAAATAACAATAGCACTGAGTGATTATTGAACATGTCAATGTATAAAAGTTTGCAGAATACCAAATTGAACTGGTTTTGCCATTTTTTAGGAGGAAAATATAATGAAAATATAATACATACAAAAAAGACAAAAGACATATTTGGTGAAATCAGAATTGATTGACACATGAAAAAGTATATGTTATTTGCTTAAGTTTAAATGGGATACTTTTATTTCTTCACTTTATAACATCAAGTAGTGATAAAAACATCCAAACAAAGGAATATTGAAAAGCAAAATTACATGAGAAATTTAATTATCTGTATATTTCTCTATTCTATTTTCAAGTAGGATTCATTCAAAGAAAATGGAGAAAAGTTATTTTGTTTTGTTTGGTCGTTACTTTTGTTGGAATAGCAAATTGTAGTCGAAGGTCATTTCTCAATGGACAAAGAGTAACCTCTAAGTCAAAGACAATGTGCAGTTGTTTTTGCTTGGTTTATGTAAATTGTAAAAAGATTGTAGAGAAAAATTAGAGTAACAATGTTTTTGTTTTTTCTTCCAAGAATTTTTATTCTATACATTGTGCCAAGAATGCAACAGATGGTATCAAGGTTAAATCTCATGTTTAAAAAGAAATTTAGTTAAGGAATCTGTCTATATGTATACATATATATGTATATATATATATATATATATATATAGTGGCTGTTGATTCACAAAGCGAGTATAACCATCACTGACATGTCCAGCCCTTCAGTTAAACACCCCCGCCCCACAACACTGCATTCATCAGTTGTGTGAACGACAGTGGCTCATAAAGCCAGCCATCAATCTGCATTTCTTGTCACATATGTGGCATATCAAATCAACTCCAGGTGGTAGAAGTTGGCTTTGATCATCATCATCATCATCATATATATATATATATATATATATATATATATATATATATATATATATACACACATACACACACATATATATATATTGTTTGTTTCGTATAAAAACATCCATGCAGAAATATATATGTATGTTGCACATGTATA